CTGCCTTACTGGTTTCTTTTTTGGATCCACGGCCAGTTTATGTACCGCCAGATCAGGACTGATGCCTGGCATTTCATGGACTTCGAATGCAAAGATGTCCTTGTATTCTTTCAATAGTTTGTGAAAGTCTCACCCAGGACCCTTAGAGCAGTCGTCCCAACTTTGAGTGTTCTGTCAGGACGCGAGTCATCTAAGATCAGGTCCGTATGCTCACCAGTTGGCTGAGGGCGAAATTCATCCGACCGCTCCTCTGCCAATGATTGCTATTTTCTGTCTTTTCTTGCGGCCCCCGTCTGGGATGCCTTTCTCTTCTTGTCGCCTGCTTCTTGAACAGGCGCACTCTCCTTGACATTGTCAAGGTCTATTTTTCCACCACTCGACCCAGCGCCCATAACAGTGGGCTTGGCATCCGAGAGATAGCACTCTCGGGCCATCCTCTGATCTCCCCTTAAGGACCCGACTGTTCCATTATCCCTCTCAAACTTGAGCAACATAAGAGATGGGATTATAACAGCCTTGGAATTATTCAGGGTTGGTCGTCCCAGAATCATGTTGTAGGCCGAGAGTTCTTCTACTACCAGGAACCGGACTACCATGTGTCGTCCTTCCCCTTTTTCACCCAGGCGGATGGGTAAATCCACTCGTCCCACTGGGTGGACGACTCCTCCTCCAAACCCTACTAAAGGGTGAGATGCCGGATGTATGCAATCAGTCTGATATTTTAGTTTCGACAGACATTTTCTACTGATGAGATCTGAGGAGCTTCCGGTATCTATGAGGATTCGGCCAACTCTCTGGTTGGCCACTTTACATTCAATAACGATAGGGTCGTCATGCGGCCCTTTTACCCCTCCTAGATCTTCTTCAGTGATGACAATCTCAGGAAATGAATATTTGGAGGGCCGTTCTTGGTAAACGGAATTTACATCTAGCCGTCTGATATTGTCTTTGTTGCCCCGAATAGTGGGCCCACCTCCTGAGAAGCCGCCTGCAATGGTGTAGACGACTGCATCATCTGTATCGGAGTTGTCGGCCTGTTGATTCTTTTTGGCCGACTGCTTTTTCGAGGATGTGTTCCCCGTAGATTTCTTGACATAAGTGTCAAGATCACCTTGCTCAGCCAGGCGGTCCAGATACCGCATGAGACTGATGCATTCATTGGTGTGATGACCAACATCTTCATGATAATCACAAAATTTTTCTTGGTTCCGGTTGTTTGCAGAACCCTTCATGGGGACCGGCATCTCAATTGAGATCCGTCCCTTGATTTCCTTTAGGATAAATTGGATATCCTTGTTAAACGCATACATTGAGGAGTATGGTTTGAATTCTTTTTTCTTCTTCTGGGCCGGCTGTTTAGAGGAATCAGCCGCCCAGACCTCTTTTCTCTTCTCATCTTTGTTTGACGACTGTTTTTGTCGTCCTTCTCTTTTGTCGGACCTTTTCCCGTCTGACTTTTTTACCGTACTACAAAGATCAGTCGCCTGTATATAGGCTTCCGCTTCAATCAAGGTCTCTTGAAGAGTCGCCACCCTCTTTCGGACCAAATCAAATTTGAAGGTCGACCCGTCTTTGAGACCTCTGAAAAAGTCAGTATAGGCTACTTCATCCGGTAACCCTTGAATCTGTATTCTCATCAGGTTAAACCGCCTAATGTAAGAACGAAGCCCCTCCTTCTCGCCCTGCTGAATCGTTCCTAAATCAAGGGTCGTCTTCTTCGCAGGGATGTTCATGGCAAAGTTGGAGGTGAATAAGTAAGAAAGCGTCCTGAAGTTATTTACACAACCAGTCGGCAGGTTGCCGAACCATTGTTGTGTGATTCCTTTGAGAGTCGCTGGGAAACACTTGCACCAAGTGGGATCATCCAACCCTTGAAGGTACATCAGGTTGGTGAATGCCATCAGATGGTCTTCTGGGTTAGTAGTGCCGTCATAGGCGCCTACTAATACATTTTTCACTTTGGTCGGCTGAGCGGCTTCAGTAATTTCCTTGGGGAAGGTCGACGGCTGTTCGCCAAGTCTAAGAAACCGTAGCTGCCAGTCCATAGGTTGGACATTTTTTGCTGCATGTCCACCAAACGGAGGTGGCTGCAAAAAATACTGTTGTTGCGGTACAAACGGTAAGTTTGGTACCGCCTGGTCGCTATGAAAGCCGGACTGAAGGGAGGTGCCGCCTGACTGACTCTCATGATATGACTGAGTATGCCTCATCGAGGTATTGCGCAGACTGTCTTGGAAGTTTGAATTAGAGGCCGACTCTGACAATCGGTCACTCTTCTTCTGCTCTAGCAGTAGCCGAGCATCTGTGTATGTTTTCCTCGACCCGTCTGCCTGAATATGACGAACAGGTTTCCTTTTTCCTGGAGTAGGAAAACAGTATTTTGTGAAATCAAGGGCAGGCGGCTCCCACTTCCTAGATTTAGGATGAGGGGTCGCCTCACGCCCTTGAACTGGCTTCCTCTTCCGTGAAGTGGAGGGTTTCTTAGCCGACTGCTCCTTGTCTAGAGCAGGCGGCTTCTTGTTGATCAACTCCTGAATTTCTCCCTTGAAGTCCCTCATGAAGGTCATGAGTTCGTTCCTTGTGATGGGAGCAGACCCATCAGTCGGCTGCTGCCGAACAGGCGGTGCGCCTGCTGGCTCACTTCCAGTTTGAAGATGTTCCCGTTCCCTCCTTTCGGTATGACGGGTACGTCGGGCCCTTAGGGTCCCGTCTGAAGCTGTGTGAGCTTCAACTTCAAATTCATTCTCAGTATCGTGGTCCGACTGAACTAGAGGGTCGTCCAGGGGACGTCTCTCTTCAGGAGCCGGTACAAACGTGGATGCCATCTCAGAAGTACTCTCCCCACAGACGACGCCAAAAATGTTTCGGGGTTTTCTGATGTCCTGCGGGAGAGTTACAATTCCGAGACTGGAACCGGACGCCTGTACCTGCAAAACAAACGGATGCTCCGGATGATTGGAGATCCGCCTCCAACGGTCAAGTTAGTACTTGATTAAGGAGTAATTAATGCGGAAATTAAAGTGATTGGGTCTCTCTAGGTGAGAGTGTTTAATGTGTGTAATCTGCGTAATCCCCCTTAATGAGGATTAAGGGAGGTATTTATAACCTCGGGAAACGTGCCAATCCTAGGTTTAGGTTAACCTTGGGCTGATTGGGCTTCCCTCGGAAGTTGGGCCTAGGTGGCCGACTTCTCCATTAGGCATGGAGTATGCCACGTGTCTTGACATAATAGGTCCAGGGTGGACGAATAAGCGTGTGCCACGTGGCAAGCCCTGAGAGGTCCAACTGGGGGACACTTGGCAGGACCTGATTGGCCCACGTGGCGCATTCCGATTGGTGGGAGAAAAATCCCCTAATCATAAAGTATTCAGTTTGGTTTACTCTTCTATTAGATCATATTGTGATCTTGTTGTAGTTTAAAGTGGACCAGTTGGAAATAGACATTTTGGATCACATTTATGTTATTTCCATGCTACACACCTATGCTTAATTGGTGTCGTTGATTGTGTTAACATTGTGGCCATTGATGGGTCTAGCTGCGTTTATTGTAGCTTAGATTGCTTTGACTCTATATAAATATAAATGATGGACTGAATTGTTTAAAGAAGTTTGGAAATGATAGTATACTGAGCTCATAAAGTTTTAAAATATAATGCAATTAACAACAATCACAAACATGTAATTGTATTTGGTCCAAGTGGGAGATTGTAAGAAATTTATGATCCTAAATACAATAATGTATGTGGATTATACGGTTATCATATAGTTTAGCTTAAAAATAAAGTGATCAATTTAAGTAACTATTATTATTGTTGGGCTTAATTACGTCTTTTATAGGGTATGGATTTAGTTTCATGTGTAAAGATCGTTGGACCCTTTCTAATGCATGATGAGCAGATTAAGAAGAGAGTCTTTATAAATAGACAACTGGGGTTATGGTCCCTAGTAGTACATACAATACACTCTCAGTTATATCCCAGAGAGAAAACCCTATATTGTGTATCTGCTATAAGACGTATAATTAAGGAGTGCGATCAATTGTCATGGAATCAAGTACGCTTCCGCAATTAAAATTTACCGATTAATTTGATATGAAGGTTTAAGTTTATTGTAGGAGTTAATCCTAACATAAAAATCTCCATTAATGTCCTCTTCTTAGTCAAACTCAAGCTCTTATCCTTAAAATTGCCGGCTCTCGAACCCGAAACACTCGAAAACCCCTCTTCTCACCATCATATATCAAATTAGCATCACCATCCTTAAATTCCAAATAATTATTCACTCCAGATTTCACAAAAATCAATATAATCGCAGAACATCGAAGTGATAGGGTCAAGGTGGAGGACGGATTTCCCGGCGGTAGATGCGGCGGCGGCAATAATGGATTAAGGAAGTCCGGTGCCGATTATCAATGTGAGAATTCGGTGCAAATTAGCAGAATCGCCTTTTCTTTCTTAGCAAACTTATGGAACGCTTTAAGAACAGGGTATGAGAAGTGAATTAATTATAGGGGTAACTCAACTCAGAACAATGAGCGCACTTCCCCATGCCACATCAGCCAGGTAATTGCGGTTTTATGTCAGCTAACCAAAGCTTAACTCACCTTGAGTTAACTGATGTTAATCACCATCGGAAAGTAAATGTTAGGTCCTTAAAAGATGAAAAAAAAATGAGAGGTCCTTAAAAGTGAAAAATATCAAATATAAGGTCATGTATTTATGTTTAACTCACAAATCTTACAGTAAATTTGATAATTAATGCAAATTAATAGAGACTTGAGAGCAGTGGCGGATTCAGGATTTTCAATTCGGGGGGACAAAATGCTTAACTTACAAAAAGCTTAACAAAAAATAAAAACAAAAAAAAAACTCAAACACACAAATTAGTTAATACTTAATATTAAAATTTCAAAATAAAAAACATACTTAGTCATACAATTCAAATGATGAAAAAAATTACATAAACATTACATTAAAATTACACTTTCATCCTTCGAGTCTTCATATTTTGGAAGCGATCAACAATTTTTTATCGGAAACTCTTAGGAAGACATCCTTTTCAATAAAAGTGACCAAACAATCATTCATAAGTTGATCACCCATGCTATTTCGCAACTTATTTTTGACACATGTCATTGCGGAAAAGACTCTTTCAACACTTGCCGTGGCAACCGGAAGAATCAACATCAACTTGATAAGCAAATGAATAAGAGGAAAAGTCTTATGCTTATTAGTTTTAACAAGCATCATAGAAAGAGAGTTAAGGTCATTTAAACCTTGAAATCTATCATCATTTAGCATATTCTCCATGAATATATCAAGTTGACATTCAAGAGCCATCAAATCAAAGCTTGAAAATTCTTCGGGATAAAAAGAGGCAAGTTTAAGTACCTTATCTTTATCAAAGGATGAGAAGTTATCTTTAGGACTTAAACAAGCCATACATATTAGTATCTCCATATTCCTCTCATTTAATCGATCATCAAGTTCTTGAAGATGCAAATCAATCACTCTTACAAAAATTCCAACCCGAAAATGATGTTCATTTGTTGCTTCTTCAACAAAACGTCTTGATCTTCCTTGAGGAACATAAGGAGAATCCATAGTGGGAACAACAATACCATGTTTAGGACAAAATGAAGTTACCTTGTTTAAGAGAGTATCCCATCCTTGCTCCCTCATTTTTTGCAACACCAATTTTGCGTAAGTGACAAGTTCCATGGCATTTACAATATCTTGCTCCTTTCTTTGAAAAGCAACACACAAATCATTAGTGTAACCAAAAATAGTCAACATCAAGTGAGCAATAAAAACAAAGTCAAATGACTCTAATTGTCCTAAAACAATTTGAGCTTTGAACTTATCTTCCGATACACCATGCTTCCCAATGTGTACAAGTACCTTAACAATTGTAGGAAATAAGAGGATGATGTTTGAAATAGACTTGTAATAAGAACTCCAACGAGTATCCCCGGGCCTTTTCAAACCAAGTTCTTGATTTAAACCCGATCCACTCACAATATCCCCTACATCCAATGCTCGAGCAACTTCTTGAGCTTGATCTTGTCGAATCATTTCTCTTCTCTTGCAAGAAACTCCAACCACATTCAATAAATTTGCAAGTATCTCAAAAAGCCAACCACAACTATCATTCTTTTTAGCAACGGCAACTAGTGTTAGTTGAAGTTGATGAGCAAAACAATGTACGTAGTAGGCACTTGGAGTATCATTCATAATCAAAGTCTTAAGACCATTTATTTCACCTTTCATGTTGCTAGCTCCATCGTACCCTTGCCCCCTTATCATAGATGGACTCAATGAATGTTCAACAAGTAAAGACATGATTGCATCTTTAAGAGTTAAAGCGGTAGTATTACCAACATGAACAATGCCTAAAAATCGCTCCATTACCTTTCCACTATCTCTATTAACAAAGCGCAAAACAAGAGCTAGTTGTTCTTTTTGGGACACATCACTTGACTCATCGGCTAATATGGCAAAGTAATCATCACCAACTTCTTCTATTATGCACCTAGTTGTTTCTTTGGCACAACAATTAATAATGTCCTTTTGAATAGAAGGGGAAATCATTTGACAATTTTTAGGTGCATTTTCAAGAGTATGTTGTCTTACTTCCTCAACCTTTTCTCCTAACCATTTCAAAAGCTCAAGGAAATTACCCCTATTATATGACTCCCCGCTTTCATCATGTCCACGAAATGCCAAACCTTGCCCCAAAAGAAACCTTAAACAAGTTAAAGATGCATTCAAGCGGATAAAATATTCACTTTTAATCACCTCACTTGCATTGTCAAACACATTCAAGATTGATTTTTTTTTCCATCTCTTAAATTCACATATTTCTCATAAGCAAGATTATGAGCACTGTTAATTCCACCAACATGCTTCTCAAATCTTTCCGGTTTATTCCATGCCCTAAACCCTCCATCAACAAATGCATCACCCCCCGAATAACTATCAACTTCATTCTTGAACAAGTAACATACAAAACAAAATGCAGCATCTTTTTCAATACTATACTCAAGCCAATCCCATTTCTTGAACCAATGAACACTAAAGCGACGTAAACCAGACACTTGTCTTTGAGGAAAGTCATGAGTTTTTGGTTGGCAAGGTTTTTTAAGAATATAACCCCTCCTAACTGTATTTCGTTCATTTGCGGGGTAATCCATTATGTTTATTCTTTTTCCCGGATCATGAGGAAGAAGTTCAACATCGTATACCAAATTTTCCTCCAATGGTACATTACAAGTACTTGAACCACCCATTTCCATATCATCTTCTTGACTTTGAGGGGGCTTAATGAAGGGGAGTTATTGGACTCATTTTCATGGAGTTTCTTTCTTTTAGACAAGAATTGTCGAAGATCGGGTTGTTTTCTAGTAGCCTTGGATTTGTTTGAATTAGGTGAATCATTTGACATTTCCTAATTACATTAAAAATATATATCAATTATTCAATTTCGGAATTTCCACAATTCACATCATTGCATAAATGCATACTATAAAACCTAACATTAAAATTGCAATTAAAATTAAAATTCAACAAATATTGCAATTAAAATTAAAATAATTCAACAAAAATCTGGAAATTAGGGTTAACAATTGGTGAATTGGGGATTTCAAATTAACAAATTGGGAATTTCGAAATTCGAATTAGGGTTAGCAACTTAGCAAGACATACCATAAGTTTAGCAGCGACTCAGCGAGTGGTGAGGAACCCAGGGGCCAAGGCGGACAGGCGGTGGTCGGTGGAGCAGCGAGCCAGTGACGCCTGACGCACTCACGCACGCGCCTGCAGCGAAGACTGAAGATGGAGCACAGCCGCACAGGAGCAGCGATGCACCACGCACGCACGAAGCCTCGACGGTCGCCGGTTGGTGGAATGGTGATGTGGATTTAAACCCCTTAACTTAATAAAGAATCTAAAATCACACAAGTAACACAAGCCCTTCGAATTTCCTAAGAAAATCGAACAACTTAAGAATAACGAACCGGATATGACTTTGAAAACGACCACTCCTGGAACGAATTCAACGCCTCTCAAATTACCTAGACCACTCCTGGAACTAAGTACTTTGATGAACAAAACTTAGACTACTCCTAGAACTAAGAATTGAACGTTCTAATTATCAAAACAACTCCTTGAATTGAAAACTAGCAAAAGAATTTGTAAGCAATTAAGCAAAACAAACAATTAACTTGAATTTTAATGATTTTCGAATGTTCTGAAAAATCACGAAAATTACATTATTTATAGACTAAAACTAACTATTCCTAAGTCTATTCGAACTAGGAAAAAACCCTAGCCTTGATCCCCAAGTATCCTAGATAGAATAGGAGAACCAATTCTAATGGAACTAGGAAACTAGTAATAAGACTAGTTCTAATTAACCTAAAACTTCTTAAAACAATTCCTAATTGACTTAGAAATTATTTTAAACTAAATTAACAGAAATTAAGAAGATTCCTAATTGCTTAAACCAAGAAAAACCCTTTCAAGTGAAAGGTAAAAACTTGCAAGCAAAAACTCTAGAAAAAACTAAGTTAGGAAAATCTTTCTTTTCGTACTGTCGCCGAAACACCACCTCACGCGCCGCCATCATCGACACGCGCCCCACCGCCGTGTAGCTGGACTCAGGCCGGAGCTAGGGAGCCGGCGCGTGGCACCCAGATCGGCGCGTCGCCGCCGCTGCCGTCGTCGGAACCCAACTGGACCTTGACTTCTTCTTCAATGGCTGCGCATGTTAACCATTCTTGATTCTTTACTCCAAGCTCAAACCCTATTGGCCTTAAAACCAATATGATTGGCTCTTCAAAAGAATTTCCCTCTTGATCCACATCATTCTCCCCCTCTTCAAAAGAATTTTTCCTCAAATTCGCATCATCCATGTAAGGAGAACAATTCCATGAAACCATCCAAATTCGACGAATACAAGCCAAAAGAACTATTACCTCAACGCTAGCAATTTTAAGCAATGTAACAACATCACCACGAGCAAGGCAATATTTTAGAAACAACCAATTCTCAATTTGGTCCTTGGTCTTCGAAGTTGACCATAAGAACACTTTAGGCTTCATGATATTTTTCTCATGTATGACTAACAATTTCTTCTCTTTATGCATGCCTAATGAATCCACCACTTCTAAAGAAACCATTAAATTATTATCTTGATTCACGAGTGGCTCCTCAATAGTATCAAAAACCTTTTCCGACACCACCATTGGTAGATCATTATGAATAATCTGATCTTGAACAACGTCACACACAATTGGAACATCAATTGTTTCATTCACCTTTTCTTCGAGCTCTTTAGCACCTACATGTTCCTCTTCCTTATCCTTTTGACAATCTTCCTCCATCTCTTTAACTTTAACGCGGCATGGAATAATAGTTAAAGGAATAAGTTTGAACCTCTTGTTTCCCACCTTGACCGAATATGTGTTGGCCACACCATCATGTTTAACATGTCGATCAAATTGCCATGGTCTTCCTAAAAGAACGTGACAAGCACTCATAGGAATCACATCGCACCATAATTCTTCCTTGTAATTGCCAATGGAGAAATTCACCAAAGCTTGTTGTTCTACATGAAAACCCATAGAATTATCTAGCCAACCCAACTTATATGGTTTTTCATGATCTCTTGTAGGAAGTTGGAGTTTAGTAACCATCTCTGTAGACGCTACATTGGTACACGAACCACTATCAATGATCACCCTACAAGTTCTATCAACAACTTTGCATCGAGTATGAAACAAACTATCTTGTTGACCTTGAAAAATAATTTCTTCATGTAAATTCAGTCGCTCCATAAGCATATGTTTGTTACCAAAGCCAAAATCTACGTTATCATCTTCATGTTTTTTCTTCTTTTTATGACCTTGAAGTAACTTTGCAAATTCATCCATAGATTTTCGGATCCCTTCCTCCATAATTATAAGACAAAAACAGACTGAAAAGAACCCTTATCCACACAGGTATATCCCACAAAAATCGCAACACAACTTGGAACAAAATCGCACACAACGAGCAGTAAGTATTAAATCGGACCAAAACTGACACAGTTTCGGAAAACAGTCCAGTTTAATAGCAAACGAACTCGAAAAATTCCGAAATTTCACAGGCAGAAATTAGACAAAATTTCACCCAAAATCAAAAAAGGAATCACCTGAAAAGACCTTGTAACGAAGGAGAACGAGCCTTCTGAAGTTGACAGAAAAACTGGTTATCCGAGAACAAGTGCGATTTGATGAACGAATTGTTGAACGATCAAAACCCCTGAAATCTGATACCAATTTGTTGTGGTATCACACAAGCTCTGATACCAATTTGATGTGGATTTAAACCCCTTAACTTAATAAAGAATCTAAAATCACACAAGTAACACAAGCCTTTCGAATTTCCTAAGAAAATCGAACAACTTAAGAATAACGAACCGGATATGACTTTGAAAACGACCACTCCTGGAACGAATTCAACGCCTCTCAAATTACCTAGACCACTCCTGGAACTAAGTACTTTGATGAACAAAACTTAGACTACTCCTAGAACTAAGAATTGAACGTTCTAATTATCAAAACAACTCCTTGAATTGAAAACTAGCAAAAGAATTTGTAAGCAATTAAGCAAAACAAACAATTAACTTGAATTTTAATGATTTTCGAATGTTCTGAAAAATCACGAAAATTACATTATTTATAGACTAAAACTAACTATTCCTAAGTCTATTCGAACTAGGAAAAAACCCTAGCCTTGATCCCCAAGTATCCTAGATAGAATAGGAGAACCAATTCTAATGGAACTAGGAAACTAGTAATAAGACTAGTTCTAATTAACCTAAAACTTCTTAAAACAATTCCTAATTGACTTAGAAATTATTTTAAACTAAATTAACAGAAATTAAGAAGATTCCTAATTGCTTAAACCAAGAAAAACCCTTTCAAGTGAAAGGTAAAAACTTGCAAGCAAAAACTCTAGAAAAAACTAAGTTAGGAAAATCTTTCTTTTCGTACTGTCGCCGAAACACCACCTCACGCGCCGCCATCATCGACACGCGCCCCACCGCCGTGTAGCTGGACTCAGGCCGGAGCTAGGGAGCCGGCGCGTGGCACCCAGATCGGCGCGTCGCCGCCGCTGCCGTCGTCGGAACCCAACTGGACCTTGACTTCTTCTTCAATGGCTGCGCATGTTAACCATTCTTGATTCTTTACTCCAAGCTCAAACCCTATTGGCCTTAAAACCAATATGATTGGCTCTTCAAAAGAATTTCCCTCTTGATCCACATCATTCTCCCCCTCTTCAAAAGAATTTTTCCTCAAATTCGCATCATCCATGTAAGGAGAACAATTCCATGAAACCATCCAAATTCGACGAATACAAGCCAAAAGAACTATTACCTCAACGCTAGCAATTTTAAGCAATGTAACAACATCACCACGAGCAAGGCAATATTTTAGAAACAACCAATTCTCAATTTGGTCCTTGGTCTTCGAAGTTGACCATAAGAACACTTTAGGCTTCATGATATTTTTCTCATGTATGACTAACAATTTCTTCTCTTTATGCATGCCTAATGAATCCACCACTTCTAAAGAAACCATTAAATTATTATCTTGATTCACGAGTGGCTCCTCAATAGTATCAAAAACCTTTTCCGACACCACCATTGGTAGATCATTATGAATAATCTGATCTTGAACAACGTCACACACAATTGGAACATCAATTGTTTCATTCACCTTTTCTTCGAGCTCTTTAGCACCTACATGTTCCTCTTCCTTATCCTTTTGACAATCTTCCTCCATCTCTTTAACTTTAACGCGGCATGGAATAATAGTTAAAGGAATAAGTTTGAACCTCTTGTTTCCCACCTTGACCGAATATGTGTTGGCCACACCATCATGTTTAACATGTCGATCAAATTGCCATGGTCTTCCTAAAAGAACGTGACAAGCACTCATAGGAATCACATCGCACCATAATTCTTCCTTGTAATTGCCAATGGAGAAATTCACCAAAGCTTGTTGTTCTACATGAAAACCCATAGAATTATCTAGCCAACCCAACTTATATGGTTTTTCATGATCTCTTGTAGGAAGTTGGAGTTTAGTAACCATCTCTGTAGACGCTACATTGGTACACGAACCACTATCAATGATCACCCTACAAGTTCTATCAACAACTTTGCATCGAGTATGAAACAAACTATCTTGTTGACCTTGAAAAATAATTTCTTCATGTAAATTCAGTCGCTCCATAAGCATAT